TCGTGCCACTCACGAGGTGCCTGGCGCAGTCCGTAGACTGGTCGTCTAAGGCTTCTCGTGCAGACTGCCCTGAAGAAAGGCAGTGGAGAAGTATAGTGAGTGCATCTCATAGTCTCGCTGTGCTGCGATGTGTAATAGAACATGGAGAGTGGTCATCTCTGGGGTAGGGGAGAAGGTCTGAAAGAAGTCTACTCCCTCACGCTTACTGAAGCCTCTAGCCACGTAGCACGACTTGAAGATAGGTGATGAATCAGGTGGCCGCTTCACCTTGAAGATCCACATGCCATCTAATACGTTCGCCCATGGAGGGGGAACTACGTCGACGTACGTGCCTGTGGATCTCCAAGATGCCATCTCTGCGTCCATGGCTGCTATCCAGTGAGAGGTCCACTGTCCGGACACTGCTTTAGTGTAAGTACGAGGAGTCGAGATGTCTGGAGCGTCAGGGTCTCCCTCATGGGCTAGCAGCATGGCACGGAGATGGGGAGAAGCGGCTGCAAGGAACTCCAGCTCAAACTTCCTGTCCTGTAGGACGTCACAGCCAAGGGCATAGTCACCGCCGGTGGACAGAGGACGGATAGGAGGAGCAGCCAACAAGTGGGTGGCATAGTCAAGGTGGCGGGTGCCGGCAAAGTTAGTGACATCGGCAACAAGAGCCGCGACAGACGACGGAGAGGCAATAGGGTATGTCACGAGAGAGGAGAGAACGCGTGATACAACAGGGCGAGCAGCACGGTAGTGATCGGTGAGAGGCAGTGATGAAACAGTGAGAGCTAACGAAGGAGGGAACGGGAGGACAGACGGAAGCGGAGAATGAGGAGGGCTAGGCCACCAGAAAAGAGACGGGAGGTCCGAAACAAGAGACGAGGGATGAGCACCCGAGGAACAAGGAGAGGTCCAAGGGGACTGGACAACAGGAGGAGACAGCCATGACCAAGGAGGAGACCGAGCGGGAGTCGAGTCCGGAGGAGGAAACGTAGGACCGTGAGCAGGAGGAGACAATGAGCGGTCAGGAAAAGGGGAAGGAAGACCAAGGGTCCGAAGTCCGCTCATAGGTGGCGACGAGCGCTGCGGCAGTGGCTGCAGCGGCGTCCGCGGCTGCGGCTGCTGCGGGGGCTGCTGCTGCTGCTTCTGCTGATGCAGCCGCTGCTCTTGCTGCCCGCGACGCTTAAGCCTCGTCAGGTAAAGGGGTCCACGCTGGACAGGGGGCGCATTACCAGCGTCTCCAGCTCCAACACCCTCAAAACCAACACCTCCAGCTCTAGCACCCCTAGAACCAGCACCTCCAGTGCCAATACCTCCAGAACCAGCACCTCCAACTCTAGTACCTCCACTTCCAGAGCTTGTCTGCGCAAGGATCGCGGACATGCGCAACAAAGCCCTAGACACGAAAGACAGACGCAACACCAGGTGACCCCGTCCAGAGACATGTCGGTGAAACCTCTGGGCGTGGGACACGCGACCAGCGGTTTAGCTAGTGTGCGGCGAACCGCGTAGGGCCACAGAAAATGGGGCGCACGGGCATGGACCATGGAGGTGCGGGCGATCTCCATGACCAAGCCTACGTGGCGCTCAACAACCCCATTCTGCTGTGGTGAACAAAACTCAAACCCCCCGGTCGGAGTGGAGACAATTGACACGGAGGCGACGCTGGGCACTAGTGGCCAGCAACCAGGGGATTAGGGCATCAGTCACGTCGGACTTCTGTCGCAAGGGGAACACCGTGGTGTAGCGCGAGATGTCGTCAACCACCACCACGAAGGAACGCTCCTGCTCCGACCCAGAGACTGGGGCGGGGCCCCACACATCCAGGCGCAAAGTCTGGAGGGGCGCGGTGGCGGTGCAAGGGAGGAGTCAGGGGTGGCGCGCAGCTTACCCTCGACGCAAGGAGTGCACGGCGGCTCAGGCGAAGGAGGGAGCGACGGAAACAAAGACGGGATGCCTGGGACAAGGTGGTAGCTAGACATGTGACGGGGGCGTGGGAGTGAAGGGTGACCAAGACGGAGGTGCCACATGACTGTCGGGTAGGTGAGTGACCGACAGGAGCACGACGCAGCAACCTGACCAGACACAGCTACATGGGGGTACGTAGTGTGCAGTGTGAAGAGACCTGAGCGGGGCTCCCGGGAGAAGGTAGCAAGAAGTGCCCCCGTGGAAGCGTCCTTACATGTCGCAAACCTCTCGTGTGCAGGAAAAGTGACCGTGGCCCCACGGCCTTTAAGGTGTCTAACACCCACCAAGTTCCTAGAGAACGAGGGGATGTGGAGACCGACGATGGAACCAGAGGGGACGGCTGGACACCGGAGCGTGGTAGAGGTGCGAGCGACGGCTGGTCCAGAAATGGGATCAGCCAAAGCAACTGAGACTGATGCAGACAAGTGGCGTGACAGTGGTGTGGTCATGGAAGAAGCACTGGGACGCGCCAGAGTCAAGCGTGAAGGAGAGCAAGGCGTCAGCAGTCGACACACCTGAGGTAGTAACTACACGAGCGCCTACACTAGAAACACAAGTCCTTACACTAGCAACAGGCAAAGATCCTAAGCTAGGTACGCGCAAGCTAACATATCTGACAGTACTAGTAGCAACACAATACAGGAAAGAGTGAATGTCATCTATGGATATATCAAGCACACGGCAACCACGGCGAAGCAAAACAGGCCAGCAAAGGGGAACCGAGTCTGGCCCGAAACGCTCACGGTAGAGGTCGTCGAGGCGACTGTAGCAGTGGAATGCAGAGTGGTCAGGACGCCTGCAGGTAGTGCCAACACCAGGGCCAGTCAGGATCTGGTACTGGCAGGGCCCGACGTCTCGGCCACCGCGATGAGCCCCCAGCTGTCTGGGCCGCTGCTGCATCTGACGCTACCCGGACCACCAGGCCCCCACTGCCGCTGAGGGTGCCACTACTACTGAGGGCGCCACTGCTGCTGAGAGCGCCACTGTTGCTGAGGTCCCCACTGCTGAAACTGCTGCTGCTACTGTCCCTGCTGCTGCAGAACTCGAGCAGACGCCATGGTAAAGGCTAGCTGGGCGTAGGAGCGGCAGGCTTGGAACGGCTGGCGCGAGGAAACTGCTGGAGCTAGAAACAGCTGGGGCAGGAATGGTTTGAGCTAAGAGCGGCAGGAGCTAAAAACAATCAGAGCGAGTAACGGTTGGAGGTAGAAACAGCTGGAGCGAGACATGGCTGGAGCTAGGAACGGTTGGAGCTAGGAGCGGCTGGATCTAGACACGGCCGGAACTAGGAACGACTAGGAACGCCAGGCTAGGAAGCTCGCGCTAGGAGCAGCTGGAGCTAGAAACGGCCGGAGCTAGGAACTGCTCGAGAGAGAAGCAGCTAGAGCTAGAAACGGCCGGAGCTAGGAACTGCTCGAGAGAGAAGCAGCTAGAGCTAGGAACAGTTGGAGCTAGGAGCGGCTGGAGCTAGACACAACCGGAGCGAGGAGCGACTGGAGCTAGGCGTCGCTGGAGTTAGACACGGCCGGAGCTAGGAACAGTTGGAGCGAGAAACTGCTGGAGCTAGGAACGACTAGAAATGCGAGGCTAGGAACGGCTGGCGGTAGGAGCGGCTGGAGCTAGAAACGGCCGGAACTAGGAACTGCTGGGGGGAGGAAAGTTGCTCTGGAACCTAGTCTGACCAACGAGGTGCAGTTGGCGAAGAACCGCATGTAAGGAACGTCGCTCAAAACCCTAATATGTGCCAGAAGTGCAGCTGCCAGCCGTCGCTAGAAAAGCTACTGGTAATGAGAACGGTGGGCTCGCGCTAGGAGCAGCTGGAGCTAGAAACGGCCGGAGCTAGGAACTGCTCGAGAGAGAAGCAGCTAGAGCTAGAAACGGCCAGAGCTAGGAACTGCTCGAGAGAGAAGCAGCTAGAGCTAGGAACAGTTGGAGCTAGGAGCGGCTGGAGCTAGACACAACCGGAGCGAGGAGCGACTGGAGCTAGGCGTCGCTGGAGTTAGACACGGCCGGAGCTAGGAACAGTTGGAGCGAGAAACTGCTGGAGCTAGGAACGACTAGAAATGCGAGGCTAGGAACGGCTGGCGGTAGGAGCGGCTGGAGCTAGAAACGGCCGGAACTAGGAACTGCTGGGGGGAGGAAAGTTGCTCTGGAACCTAGTCTGACCAACGAGGTGCAGTTGGCGAAGAACCGCATGTAAGGAACGTCGCTCAAAACCCTAATATGTGCCAGAAGTGCAGCTGCCAGCCGTCGCTAGAAAAGCTACTGGTAATGAGAACGGTGCGGGAGGACGGACTGGAGCGGCGTGCAACCGGTGGTGGCCTATGGGGAGGGCATGCGCTACTGTTGGCGAGGCGCACGCCGCTGTTGGCTGATTGGGGCGCGCTATACAGGCATACCAAGGGGCGCATACTGCCAACGGGCGGGGCGTGCACTGCCTACGGGCGGGGCGCGTGCTGCCTGCGGGGTGGCGCGTGCTGTCTACGGCCGACAGGACCGCTGGCTGCGGGGTGACACTGTGGCTTCCAAACCTATGCTGCCTGCGACGACTTCATATTTGGTGGGGATGCACATGTTAACCAGAGAATTTGGGCTTTAAGAATCTCAACAGAATCTCTTGAAGAAGTGTTATTCTGTGAAGGATGTTCCACTGTGAGTCTGTGACCCAAGTTAGGACACCATCCCGAACAAAAACCGGATCTCATGGGGAAACTTTCTTAGTGTCCAAACTTTGGATCGCTATCATATTCAGCTCGGCACATCCTACCACTAAGTTGAAGCAGCATTCCCCACTAATCCTACAACAAACATCTCCTCAATGGCGTCGTACGCAGCAACCCATGCTGCTTTCACATCACCACTCCACATGTCACCCAAGCCGTCAGCCAAGGTAATCACGAACGCATCCCTCAGTTTCTGCGATTGGAATTTGAAGATAAGACACATTCATTAGGGGCTACAAAAGGCTGGCACCAACAACGTGTTTTGGGAACCGGCATAGAATAAAGCACTGCAGTGATACAAATCAACACTGCACAGTTTGTACATACCGCAGCATACTTGAGCTTGACTCCGTATCCAGTGTGCTTCTCGCCCAGAGATGCAAGACTCTTCCTGTACATCTCTACCTGCTTCTCGTTGTCCAGATTCGTGGCAATGTTGACCACCTGCACACATGGAGAAAGTCATGGCGACAGCAAGACAAGTCAAGGCTATGAATCACTCGTCCGACAGTTAAAGAAAGTCCCTTTTGACTCCGACACCCCGTCCCTCCATTTTTCACCTCCGTCTGACTACTACTTCCGAACAGCACTGCAGCGTAGGCTATTCCTTCCCCTTTAACCCACCTTCTTCAGCACAGTGGTGGCGTGTTCCTGGAGCGCCTTGTTGTCCCTCATAGGTCCCGTGTAGTCCTTGGTCATGGATATGAGGGCCTTCGCTTCCGGCACAATCTCGAACAAACTGCCAGTGGGAATCACCATCATGTAGAACGAGTATCAGTTCAGAAACACAAGATTATCACAGATCTGCTTTGAGACGCCTCAAAACAAGCCTTCTTTCACTGCCAGTGGGAATCACCGTGTAGAACGAGTATCAGGTCAGAAACACAAGATTATCACCGATCCGCGGTGCTTTAGAGGATCATTCAGCTGTTAAGACGCCCCTATGATTCAACTACTACCGGAATTCGGACTCCTAGGAAGCTTCCAAAAGGTGCTTACTTGATGAAGAGCGACATGGCGTGGTGTGGCACATCGGCCTTCAGCTTCGCCTCGAAGCTCTCTTTGATCAGCTGTACTTGCTCCGAGGGGAGAACGAACTCAGCAGGGCCGAGGGAACCCATGGTTACTAGAGTGAAGAAGTGGCTAAACGAGTTATGGCTGAGTGAGAAAGTCAGAGAACGATTTCAGCCTGGAGTGTGATAATATGCCATATAGGGAGAGGAGACACGATAGGAGCACCGGTTTCCGTGAGGGAATTGTGGACGCTGATGGACTGAAGCAGCGGCGCCGTCGAGAGAGTGTCGAGATGAGGGCCAAGTACAGATCGATCGCGTAGTAAATATCTAGGAATCTGGTGGTTCCGTGATCTACGGGATCCAAGGGAGGATGTAACCCTTGCGAAACCGAGAGGTAAGATCGAAGGCCAAGGGACAACACAGTGTGACTTGAAGAAAAAGACATTGCACCCTATCGTCATTCCAAGGGTCGCCTCGGAACTAGAATCAGACGAGTCGCGAGTGAGCGACAGATCAGCGGCAAGGAGTACGGCCCGCTCGTAACCGACTTGATGCGACAGGTGCACTTACAAGTTCCAGCGAACAGCCACCCAATCATGGCGCCCGGGTGAGGATGGTGAGCTGGCAAGCCTCGCCGCCTGTGATGTTAAAGCCGTGGCCCAACTATCAACTTCAACTTCAAAGTATTATAGCTTGGAAGAGGTTGACCCAGGCAGTTCAGAGCCGAGAAGTTTGTCCTCTTCTGGTTTTCCAGTTTTTTCGTCCAATAGAATTCAAGTTACTCACATGCCATTTTTGTCCCCCTACTGTTCCTAAGAAGTTGCACCCCGCCTTTAAGCCCTCGCATGTGCTGTCAAGAACTCGCCTTTGCTGTCAAACCCTCGCCTTGCGTAGACGGAAGGAATCTAGAGATGCTTCCTGCAACATTGCCAGCCATACTGGCCCGCCCCGTGCGTTGCGCGAGCACGGAAGGTCGCCAACAAATGCATCATGGGAGCGAAAGAAGAAATGCTTCTAGTCCAAGAGCGTGTCCCGCTGCGAGGTGTCCACTACCATCTGTATCTGTAAGAATGTCTACCATCCACAACCATCACCATCAGAAACCGTGTCTACGCCATCGGGTCTCCGAGGTGCTAGGAAAGTCCAAGAATCATGAGCCTTGGTTCTTTAGGGCGCGTTCAATTAAGTTAGGGTTTGTGTCCCTATATCCGCTGTAACTGACTTCGAGAACGTCGCTAAGAAGTACTAGAGATGCGAAACCCGAACGTTCGTCGAGTACGACGTCGTCCCGACAGGAAACGACGTGAGTGCGAGTGCGCATGTCTGCCCATGACGCAGGGAAACCTGAATGCGCAGGAGTTTGGAGCACGCTCTGGCCTAACGTCAGCACTAGGCAAACAAGCATGGTTCCCCAGGAAGCGCAAACAAATACAGCTCGCAAACAACTACTGCAACTCTACCCATCAGCACTAGGCAAACGAACGCGCTGGACCCGCCCTTTTACTGCAGGGGCGGCTTCGCTGCCTTTGTACAGTAGGTACGCCCCTTGGAAAACTCCAGGGACAGCATCACTTGCGTGGCAGCTTGTGCGCCAACAGAACCCAGCCAACGACTCTTTCTCTAATAACATGATCTACAACTGTTATGTAACAGAGTTGAGCGGAAAACAAATAACGAAGCTTGTGACTAATTCAACTTACAATACAATGAAGGCACGTGATGATATAGTGACTACCCTAGCTAGGAGGGAACCTCGGGGACAATAGGTTGGGTGCAGGTTTGGCGAAGGGAAAACCGAAGGCGACGCGAGGCAGCCTCGGAATCATGGATGTCGCCGAATGTGTGAAGTCTGAAAGTGCGGGGTTGTACGCGAAGCAGTAAACCCCGATTAAGAAAAAAGGAATTTTCCTTACACTACCTCCACCCCCCCCTCCCCCCCCTCCCCCCCCCCCCCCCCCCCCATTTAAGAAAGGTAGTCAATGTCCGCAGCTCGCTTGCGGGCGATGATTTCACAAAGAAGCGAAGGTGCTTCAAGCGAGGCGGACGGCACCATTGTGTCGTTTTCACTGGTACGATCGGTCCATCGGACTAAGAAGTCCACGTGGCGGCCAGAGTCGTCAAGTCGGACGCGGTGTGTTTCGACGGGTCAAGTGTCGGTTCAGGGAAAGGACGAGCCGTTGGGGCGGCGCTTTGGCGCGCAATGTCCGTTGTGGCCGGTACGAATTTTCGCAGCAGGTTGACGTGGAATGCGTCATGAACACGTCAGTCCTCGGGAAGCAGGAGTTTCGATGCCACAGGCGTGCTCATCTTCACGATGCGGAAAGGTCCGCAAAATCGTGGGCGAAGTTTTGAGGAGCTGGGCAGTCAAAGATTATTGGTGTCAAGGAGCACTAGTTGCCCTACCGTCGTTGTAATTTCCCGTCGAAGGAGATCGTTGTGGGCAGTGGCGTTGGTCTTCCTGATGGCTTCGGCTGCTTTGTCGCGAATTTCTTCTAGTTCCATCACGAAGTGCTGGGACCTTGAGACCAGGTTGTAGGGTGTAGTCGTGGTGGGTACCATCGGGTCCATCCCGTAATTCAAGAAGAACGGGGATTGGTTGGTCGTGCTTGATGGGGCATTGTTGTATACGAACTCCAGCATTAGGAGTGAAAATTCCCAGCAAGCAGGGTCGGGGCAGTTCGTGCAGATGAGCTGTTCCATGGTCTGATTGGTCCCCTCGGTCTGGCCGTCGGTTAGCGGGTGGTAGGCCGACGAGAACTGTAGCTTAGTGACGTACTCGCCCATGCCTTCCAGAACTTCGATGTAAACTTTGGGTCCCTGTCCCTGACGATCGCTGAGGGGATGCCGTGGAGGCGAACAACGGTCGAGATGACGAGGCGCGCAGTATGTTCGGCTGTAGTTGTGTTCGACATGGTGCAAAATGTGCCATTTTCGTGAGCCGGTCGACGACGACGAGCACTGCGTCGTTGCCGGACGGGCCAGCTGGCAGTCCTGTGACAAAATCCATTGTTACTTGTTGCCACGGTCGTTCGGGTGGCTCGAGGGGCTGCATCAATCCAGCTGGACGTTGCCTGTCGACTTCAATACCTGGCACACTCTGCATGAGGACACGTAACGCTGCATGTCAGAGGATGAGTCGGGTTTATAATACTGACGGTGTAGATTTTTCTGCGTCTAGTAAACCCCGAAATGTCTAGAGATGTTGCAATCGTGGACCTCGCGGATAAGCGCAATAGGCGATAAGCAAGAAACCAAATCCGATCAGTTCCGGCTTTTATGTAATAATTCCCTTCCTGCGTCGTCGCCTGCTGGTAACTTCCGGTCGTGAAGAACGGGTCCGGTGTAGCCGTGGGTGAATAGTCTCGTATGGAGTGGGTTCGTATGGGTAACCAGTACTGCAGCAGATTGAACTGTTGGGCGGGTTAGGGCGTCGACGATGTTATTCGCCCCCTTTTTTGTAGGTGATGCGGTAGGTGAAGTGTGGCTCCATCTAGTCGAGCCACCTGATTTGACGTGGGTTGAGGTTGGGTTGCGCGCGAAGGTACTATAGCAATTTGTGGTCAGTTCGCACAGTGACGTTTGGCACCTGTCAGGTAGCAGTGGCAAAGTTTGAACGTGTGAATGGCGGACATTTCCTTGTCGTGTATTGGATAGTTGCGCTTGGCTGCCTGTAGCTTACGTGACTCGTAGGCAATCGGTTGTAAGCCGTTGCCGAAATCCTGGAGTAGTACAGTGCCTATGGCAAAATCTGAAGCGTTGGTGATGACTTCGAACGGCTTAAATGGGTCGGCGATGCGCAGAACTGGAGGGGACACCAGAAAACTCTTCACCTACTGAAAAGCCGCCTTAGCCTCCTCCCCCCACACGAAATTGCGATCCTTGTGCAGCAGGTCGGCCAGCTGGCAAATTATCCCCACCATATTCGGGATATGTTAGAATCTAGGAATGTATGATGGCATTAGGTCATGAGTAATCTTGTACCCCCTAAGGCTCAACCCACTACAACCTAAGTAAACATAAACACATATGTTTTGACACACCTTCATAGGCGAAGTGGGGGATAGCCAGAGCAAGCTATGGTCACAAGACCAGTCAAGAGAAGAAGCAAAGCAATGCAAAGCTCAGGGTGGATCTCAAGATCACCACGCATTTCGAGCACAAGCAAGTGGCCACAAGGCCAGCTCACATGCAGAGTTTAAAATAGTAAGAGCAATACACTGATCACAACCTAGCAAGTGTAAACATGCATGTATACTAATATATATCAGTATACAACAAGGGCAAGGCAAGATTAAGAGACAAGCAGGTGAGGCAGAGTGGGACAAGCCCAAGAGCAGTGCAGAAACGCTGATGATCACCAAACCGAAGGGCCTAGGTGAAGACATCAGCAGTGTTGGCCTGGGAGGCCACGTAAGCAAGACGAAGCTGACCACGCTGCTGCAGTTCTCGCGTGAGGAAGTAACGAAGAGCAATGTGTTTTGTTATGTGCTCCAGTCTCTGGTTCTAACACAAGGCAATCATGGCCTTGTTGTCGACGTACAGAACTGGAGGAGAACGAGGCCGCTCACCCAAGTCAGTCAGCGGGTAGGTCAGCCAGCGGAGCTCCTGTGCAGCCATAGCCCCAGCGTAGATCTCGGCCTCACAGCTGGAACTAAGTACAGAAGACGAACGAGTGGACCTCCACGAGATAGAACACGTGTCGAGGCTGAAACTGTAACCCTGT